AGGTAACAAAATAAAATTAAACCCCTATCTCTAACTCTGCACAAAACTCAACTCAAAGTGGATCAAAGACTTAGGCAATAGAACAGACACCCTGAGCCTAACAGAAAAGAAGATAGGTCCAAATCTTCATCATGTCAGCTTAGGAACTGACTTCCCTAAGAAGACTTCTAAAGCTCAAGAAGTAAACCAAGAATCAATAAATGAGCTGGAGTTGTAGCTCAGTAGAGCACTTGCCTCCCAAGTGTGAGGCACTGGGTCCAAATCTAGCACCACATAAAAACAAATAAAGGCATTGAGTCCATACACAACTAAAAAATATATATTTAAAAAAAAAAGAATAAATGGGATGGAAAATCAAACTAAAAAGCTTCTCAGCAAAGGAAACAATCAATAATGTGAAGATAGAGCCTACAGAATGGGAGAAAATCTTTACCACACACACCTCAGATAGAGCACTAATCTCCAGGATATATAAAGAACTCAAAAAACTTAACATCAAAAAAAACAAATAACACAATCAATAAATGGGCTAAGGAACTGAACAGATACTCACAGAAGAAGAAATACTAGTGGTCAAGAAAGATATGAAAAAAATGTTCATCATCTTTAGCAATTAGAGAAATGCAAATCAAAACTACTCTAAGATATCATCTCACTCCAGTCAGGATGGCAATTATCAAGATTACAAACAATAATAAATGTTGACAAGAATGGGGGGAAAGGTACACTTATACATTGCTGGTGGGACTGCAAATGGGTGCGACCACAATGGAAAGCAGTATGGAGATTCCTCAGAAAACTTCAAATGGAATGACCATTTGACCCAGTTACCCCACTCCTAGGTTTATACCCAAAGGACTTAAAATCAGCATACTACAGTGATGCAGTCACATCAATATTTATAGCAGCTTAATTCACAACAGCTAAACTATGTAACCAACTTCAATGCCCTTCAACAAGATAGAATGATGTATGTTAATGCAAATATTATTACATTCTATATAAAAAACTTGAGCACCCAAGGATTTTGGTATGGGGCAGGGGTCCTGGAACTAGTGTCTAATGGATACAGAGAGACCACTATATACATAATCTTTGCTTGATTATATGGCTGTCTATTTCATTTATCAATGTCAAATCATGTCTTTTATAGTAGTTTAGTATTTCAAAAATACCTCACTGATGATAAACATCAGTTTCAACATGTATGTAGCCTACAACTCTGCAAATTTACTTGTGGGTATATAACACAGGAAATTTTTTCACAATGCACAATATTGATATATGAATGTCCATAGCAGTAAAATTTACAGTAGCAAGGGAAAAGAAAACTCTGAAAAATAGGAGGTAAAAATGAACCACTTCTAATGCATACCAAAATATAATACAGCTACAAAAGAAAAAATACTCATAATTGAGTTATAAACTGAACTGACCACTTTTTTGAAACATTATTTTTCTTTGGAAAGGATGACAATTCTACCAATTACTTGAGTAGAAAGATAACCTGTCAAATCAAGGAATATAATTGGTAGAATTTAATGCCAATATTAAAATTCAGGCTTTTAAATGAAGTTTCCAATTTACAGAAACTTGTGTCCACCTCTATGAGCTTGACAGCTTCCTCATGCTGAAAGCCTACCCTAGGAATGATGGTGATACTGATAATATGATTGTGTTTATATTGTACAATGAAATGTATCAACATGTGAAAAATCTGAGTATCTCAGTGAAGAGATATTTGCCATGTGACTGATGTATGATGCACAGCAAAAGATCCATTCAAAAAGCAAGATGAACCAATAAATTTTAATGTTACAGGGTACAAAAAAGTATACTCTACCCTGGGCTCAAACATAGCAATTAAACTTTGAGAAATTATCACTTATCAGATTTTAGTACAGTATCAGATAAAAATAGCTACAATTATCTCACAAAGATATTAAAACATTCCACCCTTTTCCAACTACATATGTGCATGAGACTAAATTTTCTTCATATACTTTAAACATCATGACAGACTGAACATAGAAGCATAAGTATCCATCCTAAATTAAACCAGACATTAAAGAGGTTTGTAAAGATTTCATTATTCTTACTGAATTCTTGTGTTTTGAAAAATAATCTTTTTTTCTAAGAATAGTTATATTAATATTTATGAGTTGTTTTTAAATAATAATGTTTGCTAATTTTTCTTTTTAATTTATAATATATAAGTATCCATTGATATAACTTCCTCTTATCCCCTCAAAAATAAGTTCTTTGTAATCTTTAATAATGTTGTGAACGTAAAGAGTGCTAGCCAAAGGCACAATCAATAAAATACTCTCAATCTCAGTAGTAGCATCTTAAAACAGTATCTATTCTCTCACATTGTTTTTGAGAATCAGCAGCTAAGTGAGTGATTCTGCCTCAGAGTCTCTCATAGGGTTGTAATAAGCTATGGACTAAAGTTACAGATTATGAAGACTTGACTAGATTTGAGGGATGTGTTTCCAAGCTCATTCACATGGCTGTCGGCAGGAGGCTTAATATTTATAGATAATTGTATTTATCTCTTTTTTCCTTAGTATCATTTTCTTTCTTGGCTTTCCCATTATAGTTCAACAAAATATTAGTTTTAAGTTATTAAGCAGAGCCAACCTTCAACATACCTTTGAATAAAAGAGTTTAATACTCTCTACCACACAAAAAAAAAAAAGTAAAGACATGGGGAAAAAAAGCTTTAATACCAATAATCCCTCACACTATAATTAAATATTCACTATTAACCTTTTATAAAGAAACAAGGCAGAAAATATTAATGTTAAAAAATACAAGGAAAAAAAACAGAGTTGGAGGTCTCACACTTTCTAATTTCAAAACTTATAAAGCTATACTACTCAAAACACTATGGTTCTGACACAAAGACATAGAGATCAGTGCAATAAAGAGACCACAAATAAACTTTCACACATCTAGCTACTATGGTCTCAATGCTGTGTCCTCCTAAAAAGCATACTTTGAAAGCCTAACCCCTAAAGAGATGGTATGAAGAGGTGCAGTCTTTGAGAGGCGATTAGGTCATGAATAAGATAGCACCCTTATAAAAGAAGCCTCAGGGCTAGAAATGTAGCTCAGCAGGATGCAGCTTGCTTCACAAGCTCAAGGCCCTAATTTCAATGTACCACCACAGAAATAAATAGATAGATAGATGATAGATAGATAGATTACTCAGGGAGATGAATCACCTACCAAATACCAAATCTGCCAGTGCAGATTTTGGATCTTGGACATTCCAGTCTCCAGAATAAGGGGAAAAATAATAGTTTATGTTAATCATAAACTATTCAGGTTATGGCATTTTGTTATTGGAATACAAAGATTATGACAATAGCCAAATAATTTTTATCAAGAGTGTCAATGGGGAAAGAACAGTCTTTTCAACAAATGTTGCTGGGGAAAGATGAATATCAATGTGCAAAAGAATAAAATCGGACCCTTACTTTACACCACATACAAAAATTAACTCAAAATGGATTAAAGACCTAAACATGAGACCTAAAACTATAAAACTCTTGAAGGAAAATATTCATGATAAAATTTCTTGGATACGACGCTCAAATCATAGGCAACAAAAGTAACCATAGAAAAACTAGACCAAGCTGAAATTTTAAATTTTTGTACATCAAGAGAAGCAAAGAGTGAAAAGGCTTTGCAAATCAAATATTTGATAAGGAGTTGTACTTGCAGCAAATTATATATCTGATACAGGGTTAATATTCAGAATATATAAAGAACTCTTACAACTCAGTAACAAAAAGGAAAATAGCTGGGCACAGTGGCACATGCCTGTAATCCCAGCTATTTCGGAGGCTGAGGCAGAAAGATCACAAGTTCAAAGCCAACCCTGTGCAATTTAGTAAGATTCTGTCTCAAAATAAAAAATTTTAAAGGCTGGGGATATAGCTCAGTAGTGGGGCATCCTGGGTTTAATTCCCAATACCACAGAAGAGAAAAAAAAAACATTAAAATTATATAGGCAGCAAGCACAAGAAAAGATTCTCAGGATACTATTTAATAGAGAAATGTAAACTAAAACCACAAGATTCTACCTTACACCCATTAAAATAGTTACTCTCAGAAAAATAAAAGAGTAACAAATATTAACAAGGATGTGAAGAAACTATAACCTTTGTACACTGTATAAAGGAAAAGGGAAAGTAAAAAGGTAGTGATTTCTTAAAAAATTAAAAATAGAATTACTATATGATCCAGCAATTTCACTTCTGAATGTAATATACATGTATGTGTATTGTGTGCATTTAACAAGAGTGTCATGACCATTCAATGGATAAAGGGCATTCTTTTCAACAAATGTTGCAGGGGAAAATGAATATCAATATGCAAAAGAATGAAATTGGACCCTTACCTTACACTATATACACAGACACACACATACACATGCACAATAGAACTGAAAGAAGGGTACAAAAAAGTATCTGTATATCTACATTCAGAGTATTATTCAGAATGGTCAAAAAGATGGAAGAAACCCAAATATCCATCGACAGATGAATGGATAGTATGTTAAATACAAAGAACGTTATATTATTTAGCCTTAAAAAGTAGATTCTGACACAGTTACATGGATGAACCTTCAGGACATTTTATTAAATGAAATAAGACAGTCACAGAAAGAAAAATACTCAATGATAACACTTTCAGAAATACTTAGAACAGCAAAATTCAAAGAGATAGAATGGTGGTTGCCAGGAACTCAGAATGGGACTACTACTAGAGAGTTGTTTAATGGTTATAAAGTTTTGTTTTGCAAGATCAAAAGAATTCTGGAGATTAGTTTGTACAACCAGGTGAATATATTTAGCACTAAAATATACACACACATACACACTCACATAGAATCAGACATTTTGTTCTATCATATAAATAAGATACACAAAACTAAAATTTAAGACATAAAATCAATTAACAAATATATGTAGCTTTAAAATCCTCACCTGATTTTTTTGTGTTAACTCATGAACTGAACCTTTAAGGTTTTGTAATTCCTGCACATATACAGCAACTTCCTGGGGACCTTTGGCAAGTTCACTCCTTAACTGGCTTATTGTAGCCTAAAAAAATAAAATAAAAATTAGAGTAAACTAAATTTAAAAAGGAAAGAGAAGTACACAAAGGTTTTAAGATTATCAATTTTTTGTTGTTGTAGTAGTTAAATTGAAATAACACTTGGAACCTTCAAGTTGATTCTTTGTCCTACCACCCTCACAACAACATCACATTATTTTGGGCTTGAAATTAAATTTAAAATTTTATCTAACATGTACAACACCGTTTATCTAATAATACACAAAATGAAACGTTGTCTGAGGTAAGCATCAAACAGCAAACTTCAGTTCACTGGTATGGAAACTCTATACTTCAATCCTCTTGAATTTAAAGAGGATAAGCAAGTTATGTCTACGTTTCTCCTAATTTCAATAACATGAGCTTTTCCTTTTAAAACAAGTAAATATAAAGCATGAACATATAATAATATAAGAGAAAGTTAGTTAAACAAAGATCCTAAAAATACAAACTTTCTATATACTAAAGCTCAACTATTTGAAAGACCACCTACTGCTTGGTTTCCTGAAAATGATATTAACAAAAGAAATCTGTATTTCTTGAAATGCTTGCTAGTTTTACTTTTCACATTCTTAAAGTTTGTTATTTTCGTTGTCTCTATTCTTTATCACTGAATAAACTTTATAATAAGGATGAGACATATTAAAATTGAGATTTTGATTGTGAGGGAGGAGAAGAAAGTGAGTCATATACTTTCCCTTTTCCTATTGTAAATTATGAATCATTTTAATCTTTTACAATGATGATGTGACATGTTTATATTTGGGGAAAAAATAAACCTAAAAAAGACAAAAATGTCAAAGGAAATAAAATACTCTCTTCTTTCAACTTCCCCATGAGTAAAATTCAAACATCTGTGCCCTTGCCACCTTAACTTTTCTTCCCACTTTACAGGCCATAACTTCTCAGGAATCCTCAGCCCCAAGGCTGCACCCTCATTCTTATTTACTCCTTCTCACTCATATCCTCCTTGAGATGGTCCCTGACCATTCTAAAACTGCCCCCATGTTATTCCTAATTTCCCTACTGCCCATATCCTGCATTTTCCCCCTTCTTCATAGCACATGTTCATTACTTGTCTATAATGATTGGTTTACTTAGATATTGTTTGACTTTCACAAAAGAATATCAACCTTATGAGAACAGACATTAACTTATTCAGTGCTATATTCTCCACACCTAAAATACTTCCTGCCACTTAGCATGAATCCAAAAAATACTTCCGAAAGGAATGAGTCATTATACCTCCAAAGATTTAGTAGATATTTATTCCCATTGAAACAGCATATTAGTCCCTATAAAATAGTTTGCAGTTCCTTGATGCTATATTATTCAACATTAAATTTTTACTAAAATCTTTAAATTATAAAATGATTAAGAAACATTTCAAACAAACATTCTGCTCATTGTTTAAGAATTAAAATTATGTATTTACTACTATAAGTAATCATTTTACATTGGTTGAAATTTTGCTGATTAACAAAACAAAAACAAGCATGTCTTTGAAGATATGAGATTGCCTTAAAACACAAAACTGCCATATGACAATAGAAAGTTAGGTTAGCACTAATATCAAAAAGCCTTCTATAAACACATTACCTCAAATTTAAGCATCTCCATTAGAAAGCACAAAAAAATAATAAAATGATGGATGAAATGTGGAACACAAGACTGACAAAATTATACATTGAATACACAATAAAAAATGTCCAAACATACCTTAAAAACTAATATCTTAAATTAGCATACTTAAAAATATTTAAATACTCTTTTTAATAGCTAAAACATAAACAGTTATTCCATACCTATATAAACATTCTTACTCTTAAAACTAAGATGTAAATAAGTTTATTTGAAAGACAGATAAAATTCTTTAAAAATTATTTTCAATAAAAACCACACCAAATATAAATGGAATATAGCTGATATTTTCAATGATGCAAATTTTTAAATTAATACTTTTGAAATCTTTAAATTCTCAATTTCTAATCTATAAAACAGCCAATTATTAGTTGAAAACTTTTAGAATAAAAAATATGCTTTTAAAAATATAAATACAAAGTCAACTAATTCTCAAGGTATATGTCCAATTAAAGTAATAAACCTAAAGACATTTAATAATGTACACTACATTATATATCTTCAGCCCCAACTAGTAATACTAGTCAAATAAATCCTTACATCTTTAGCTTCTTGAATTTCTGTTAATGTGTTTGTTTCTGATGCCAATACTGAGATTCCGTAAAAGCAATGTCCATAATAAAAATTTTTCTCCTAAATTCTTTAAATGCATAATGACCAACCCACTTGAGAACAAATAGGACTGAATTTTAATAAATTAAAAAATATATGACACATAGTCAAAGTAGAAACTAAAAAAAAAATGGAGTTATAAAAAAATAAGTGAGATGAAGCAATTAGACAATAATTTTTCATATGCAAATGGAGTAAAATACAGCTCAAAAATATTTTAAGCTATTACTCAACACAAATATTACAATTTTGCTTATAAGGCAAACATCAAGCCACCTAAAATAGGAGACAACGTACTACAGGCTTTGGATGATACCTGGTTTAAAACCCTAGTCTTTATATTAGGTACATGACTATGAACAAGTTACTTAACCTAACTGAGCTTTAGGCTCCTCTGTAAAACAGATCTAATACTTAACTAAATGGAGTTTTAGGAAACAAATGAAACCACATTTGTTAAAGTGCCCAACATGGTATCTAAAACCTAGTGATGCTCAAAGAGTTCAATTCTAATAGTAATATTAGCCTGAATGATACTACCACTTCTTAAAGTTATTACAAATATTTTAACATTGCCTGAGGTCTCATTCCTCATTATGTACCTATTACTAAGTAAGTAAAGAATAAATATCTTCTTTGTTTCACGGAAAATATAGTGAAATATTAAATTACCTATTCAAGTACTTGGCAAGACTAAATTTATTTTAAATACCTAAAATGAAAACTTTTTATGAAAACTTCAACAGAGTTAATAAGTAAAACAATTGAGGCCAGGGTTGTAGCTCAGTGGTACAGCACTTGCTTAGCATGCATGAGGCACTGGGTTCATTCCCCGACACCACATAGAAATAAACAAATAAAATAAAGGTATTGTGTCCATCTACAACTAAAAAAAAAAAAAATTCAAAAAAAGAAGAAGAAGTAAAACAATTGATTTTAAGTCATTTTCCTTCTTTCCCAGAAACATCTTTTCTATAAAAACAAATCATATATATTCTTTCCTTCAGTTAGCCCTCCTTTAGGATAAAGGGAGACACTGAATTCTTTCACATTCAAATCTTTTATAACTCTAGTCATAACTTTTTCATTTTAAATGATCTTCTTTTTGCCTTTTAGATAATTTAATCTAAATGAATAAAAACATAAGTTTGTTTAAAATAGTTCCAAATTAAACTTATAATAATTCTTAAAATATTTTTCAGGAATATTTTCTCATTACCAAGTTATGTAAGTTTCTGCATATATTTTTACAAATGGAACTAAATATATAAATTTCTTTTCCTTGTTAATATTCTTACTTATCAAGTATATGTATAACTCCATAACTCTCAGCTGGGAAAGGTCTTGTGCTCTAAAAGCATCAACATTTATTTTAAAATTATAATAATATTTAAAGAAAATTATAAATCAAAAGAGAGTACAGATTTTTTTTTAATTTGAAAATACCAGAAGGCAGGCAGATCTAATAAAAATAATTCATATTCGTAGGGTGCGGTGGCGATGCCTGTAATCCCAGGGGCTCGGAAGCTGAGACAGTAGGTTCCCAAATTCAAAGTCAGTCTCAGCAACTTAGGTGCTAGTTTTATAAGATAAAAGTAAAACATATATGACTGTCAGACCACTATAACTATACACAAATATTTTTCATATCAAATGAAGCAAATAGTATTTTGAAAAGCCACTTGGAAAAATCCCAAATCTTGGTTTTATTCAACAGTATGCACTATCTAAGCTAGTATCATTACCTCTGAGTTAGCATATTCTACTTGTAACTTTTTGCACTCATCTTTGAGTTTTTCAGATTCTCTCTCACGCTCCAAGGTCATATTATCCATTAGCGTTTGAACTTGGACCAATTCTTTCTTTAGCACAGCAACATCTTCTATACCAGGTCTCTGAAGCTGTGAAGTTACACATTTTAATTAAAAATTACAGTAAAAAACTAAAATAATATACATTTTTAGAATGAATTTACTAAAAAGAAATCAAAATGAAGATAATCCTATCAATTTTTGGACTCGGAAAATTAAACACTGATCTCTCTCTCCTAATAAGCCACCTCCTCTTCTCACTCTCTTGCACTTAACAATATTACCACTGAAGGTACAATCTAGCAAATTCACAATTATCTTTAGTTCTTCATTTGCTTTCCTTTCCTTCGCAAACAGCATACATTGGAAATAACAACAACTTAGTAAATGCTACGTGCCTTATTTTTTCTATCCTAGGAAACTGGTAATAAAAATGAAAAAGGAACAAAGCTCAGTGGTTCAGCAATTGTCTGGCGTTCTTAAGGCCCTGTGTTAGATCCCTAGTACTACAAAAACCAAAAAAAAAAGGAACAGATGTAAGAACAAGTAGGGTTTATAGCAGGTTGCATGTAGTTGATTCATTTACCCATATATTTATTGGGTGCTAAATTAAGGAACAAAGAAGTCTAGGATAGATTCAAGATTGTTAGCTAGCTGTGGTGACGCACACCTGTAATCTCAGCAACTCAGGAGGCTGAGGCAGGAGGATCACCAGTTCAAAGCCAGGTCTGAGGATATGGCTCAGTGGGAGAGGACCCCTGGGTTAAACCCCTGAACTGCCATAAAATAAAATTTTTTAAAAAAATTTGGGAAGGAATGTCAGGATCAAATATGTAAATATGAAAAATACTTTAAAAAGACATTATATTTAGATAGAAACAACAAAAATGTTCAGGTAATGTTATATATCATAACATTTTTATTTTAAAAAATCACATGTAGTATACATATGTAGGTGGAGAGTATAGGGAATTTTTATTTCCTCCAGTTTACTCAAACTTTTTTTTACATTTCAGATATTATTATTTTAATATTCACAATAATATCCAAATTATTTCAATTTTCACATTTCAATGGAATGACTATATCTGTACATGTATTTGCTTCTCTACCTACTGCCTTCACAAAATTACAATGGCTTAAAATTTTAAAACATCCAATTGATAATTTTTAAGACAAAGAACAGATATTAAAAACCACATAGAAAACAAAGGAAAATAGATGTGTTAGAAAAAGGAATTAGATGATGTCCTTAACTAAACACTGAAGAAAAAAATAATACTGAAGAGAGGTAACAAAACTTTGAAAAAAAAAAAATATTTCTTCAGCTGGGTGTGCCTGTAATCCTAGCAGCTCAGGAGGCTAAGGCAGGAGGATCATGAGTTCAAAGCCAGCCTCAGCAATGGCTAGGTACTTAGCAACTCAGTGAGACCCTGTCTCCAAATAAAATACAAAAAAGGGCTGGGGATGTGGCTCAATGGTCAGTGGTCGAATGCCCTTGATTTCAATCCCTGGTACCAAAAAATGATATTTCTTCAGAGTATATATTTCTAAACTTTAATTTAGAAATTTCAAGAACTATTTCCTCACAGTACATTTTAATTTATAAAGATATTTTTTAAAATACATTCCAATAAATGGTTTCTAAATTACCAGTTCAGTCTTCAGATCTTGAATTGCAGTTGCCTCTTTGTTTAATTCTTCTGTCAAAAGTGTTACTTTTTGTTCTGCAGCCTCTCGAAGGCTCCTTTCCTCATCATATTTTGACTTTATATCTAAATAAAGATGGTAATAAAAATTAGTTTCATGACATTATCTCTGAAAAAAAAGAATTTATATAAATCCCTGTATATTACTCTGCATATCTGTACATCACTCTAATTTCAACTAACTTGCTTTAAATAGATATAAATATACACAATAAAATTATACTTATGATTACATAAATGACGAGCTTAAAATAGTAAAATAATTTTGTCTACATACATTCCCCCCAACACTGCTACTAATTAGGCATTTTAAAGAATAGTTAGTCACATATAATATTTTACCTAAAAGCATATACTTTAAAAAATACATAGTATGAGCTGGGCATAGTAGCACACACCTGTTCATCCCAGAAACTCAGGAGGCTTAGGCAGGTGAATTGCAAGATTGGGAACAGCCTCAAGAACTTAGAGAGACCCAGTCTCAAAATTTAAAAATTTAAAAAAAAAAAAAAAAAGGTCTAGGAAAGTAACTCAGTAGTAAAGCATCCCTGGGTTCAATCCCCAGTAGAAGAAAAAAGAAAAAAAAATTATCTTCTTTAAATTTCAAGAATAAACTACAAAGAAAAGCCTTTTGAAGGGAGAAGGTGAGAGTACAATCATTTATAAAACAACTATGATATTAAATTCCATTCATAACCACCATAGTCTATAACAAATCCTTTATCACACTGAAAAATTATTTTTTTCCTAGGATATATAATGGTGAAAATGTAATGAGGCTAATTTATTAGCTAAAAAATTCTGATTCAATTTACCTGCAATTTCAGTTGCAAGTTGGGCTGCTTTCTGTTCAAATAAATCTTTCATTTGCTTAATATTAAAATTTTCTGTTTGAGCCTCTTCTAATTGTTGTTCCAAAGACTGTAGTTCTACCACATACAAAAAAAAAGGGTAGCCATTATTTAAATACAATGTTAATTACATATACTAAATATTATTACTTATATCATAATCACTGTCATAATAAAGACAATCAACATGAGTTTATTATAAGTAGAGTATTTTCATATTTCAAGAATTAAGTACATCTGATTCATTGATGGCACAAATCATAATGTATAAACATAAAACAAATCAAAGAAATACTTAATCACCTCCAAATAATCTATAAATATTTGTTGTAAATCTATAAATATTTAAAAGTTATATTGACTTCATATTTCATAGTAATTTTCTTATACCCATCAAATGGCCAGATGTAACATATCCTGCTCCTCTGAAAAAAAAGTAGCTTTAAAGTAAAATAAAATTTGAAGTGGTTAAGAACATCCAGGTTTTGAAAAAAAATAATCAGTTTAAGCATGCAGTCAATCTAATATTACTTCATTCTCATCAAAAAGAGATTTCATAAATATAATAGATAATCTCAATTAGTCACTGAGCATTCCTCCACATAAAGATAGTTACAAAGATGCTAGTGCCATCAATTTGCTTAGAGGGACAAAGACTGTATAACTCCTTCACATAGACTTCAATTTTCATTAAACAATCATATTGATATAATACTCCAGAAGGTTATTTCTAGTTAACTAAATTATTAAGTACACAGATAACTTTCTAAGTCTAGAATATGACCATAAACAGAATATGTTTTAGAGCTACAAAGGACAACCACAAAATTCCTTTAGCAAGCATCAAAGGAGAGGAGGGGGAAAAAAAAGGATAAGAAAGAAGAAAAAGAAAAATGAAAAACTATCTATTCTAAGTAAAGTTACCTGCTGATGAATCAGCCACCAATCCATCAGGTTTAGCCTCCTCAATGAAAACAAAAGACAAACAAATACATTAAAAGAAGACAATACTGTATATTGCCAATGTTAAAAATCTCCAAAAGCTACATGTCAGGTCAAATAGCAAGATTTTGGTAAAAATTAAAGTCCTTATTCTTCCAGATCTATAAGTGCCATTGGCCAACTAACATAATGACCTACCTGTAGTTCACCAGTTATAAGACAGAATATTTCGAATGTTAATATATATGAAACTGTAATGAATCTGACAATAGATAGCATCCTAAATTCTATAACTTTAGTAATAAATAAATAGGACTTACCCTTCCCTCCAAATGTGACAACTGACTTTTCACACCCCATATGTGACCTCAACTACTGGACTTCAAAATATATAAATCTATGAGTTTGATAGACATTTTGACAGCTTAGGCTACAGCAGACAGCACTCTCCAAGATCAACAGCTCAAACTGTCACAGGTCCACACCCTGTTAGCCTTTGAACTTTAAAGTCTTATCCATCAACACTTGCACTGTCCCCTTGCTGCAAGAAATCCAGTCATTGCAGATCTCTATATTGGAAAGAATCACTCCCAAGACAATGCTCATAAACCTTTATCTTAAATTTTAACTAGACTTAAATTCCTATAGACACCTGTTTTCGTCATAATTGAGCAATCAGACATTAATAATTTAGGATCTTACTCACTGTGATTAATGTATCTCATCTACTATTTCCTGTGAAATGTGTTGACATATTTCCCCCCTCTTTCAACACTACGAACCTAAGAAAACATTTTTTATATGGCCATAAAATGTTTGATTCATGAAATCATACCAAATCATCTCCTTTAACCACATAAAACATCTATAATATTTGAAAATTAACATAAGCCAAATATGTCATCAAACTATCATCACTAAAAATATTGGATTTAGGGGCAGGGGGCATAACTCAATGGTAGAACAATTGCCTAGCATGCACAGGGCCCTGGGTTTGATCCCAAAGGTTAAAAAAAGGGGAGTTGGGGGTGCTTAGGGCTGGGTATATAGCTCAGTTGATAGAGTGCTTGCCTTGCTTTCATAAGGCCCTGGGTTCAATCCCCAGCACCACAAAAAGAAAAAGGGAAAAAAAGAAAGAAAAGAAAGGTTCTAAAAGCATAGTTTTAATTTAATAAATCATTTTTTAAAAGAAACAGAAATAAAGAATATATGCCTTAAAGTTTAAGTTACCTCAGAAATTAGGAGTAAAATAATATACTACCTTGGCATTATTTTCATACTTCAAAGAATTACATGCATCTCAAAGATTTTAATAAGGTATTTCCTAGTAAAGCTTTTTGTTTTCCTATGTATTAGATTCATACATATTGATTACTAAGAATTATTTTTTCTAAGTTAAATTTTCTATCAAGGTAATTTTTTATCTTATACTGTGGAAAATTTATTTAAATCTATTAACTGCATAATAGTCATCTCAAATGTAGTAAAATAATTCTCCTCTCTCTTTTCAGGTATAAAAAATAATACAGTCCATGTTTGATTAGTAAGTAAAAATATTTTAGATTACTAAAAACCCCTTTAAATAGTAATAAAACTGATATTTTGTTAGTCACTTATTTGTTTCTCTTTCATAGTTCAAATGACAATTCTTAGTGCAAAGACTAAAAGGCAAGAAAAAAACCTAATTGGAAGTCACAACATGCTTAGATAATATATACAGATATTACTATTACTTTATGAAAATATTATAAATATTGATGAAGAGTGTCTACTTTATTCTTACAAATAAACACTATATACGAATTTGGAAAAATTCATTATTCTATGATGCTTCCCATAATGGTAGTATAATAGCAATATAATTTTAGCATAAAAATCATTTTGTTAAGTCATTTAAAAACAACTTACAAATAACTGCTTTTGATGCCACCATGATTTTCTTCTGGTTTTTCCTATGTACTATTGTTATGTAGTTAAATTCATACAGTATATATACAGTCACATATAAAACATGCCAGTCAATTATGGACTACATATATAACAGTGGTTCCACAAGAATATAATGGAACTCAAATTTTTTATCTAGTGACTTTGTAGGTTATGTAATATCATAATACAATGCATTTCCCATGCGTTGTTTTAATGCTGGTATAAACAAATTTACTATGCTGCCAGTTATATAAAAGTATAGTATATACAATTGTATACAGTACTTAACACTTGATAATGAAGGTAAGTGATTATTACTAGTTTATATAATTACTACACTGTACTTTTGTTGTCATTTTAGAGTCTACTTTCCACTTTAAAAAATATATATACAGTAATATAGAACCAAGCAGGAAAAAAAAAATACAGTAATATAGAGCCAAGCAGTTCCTTCAGGAAGAATTCCCAAAGAATGCACTATTACATGAGAGGAGAGATCCACATGTGTCACTGCCCCTGAGGACCTTCTCTATGAGACAACATATAGAAGTAGAAGACAGTGACACTGATGCCGCTGCCCCTGTTAAGCCAAGACGACCTGTGTCTTCATTTTTAACAAAAAAGTTTAAAGGCTAAAAAAGTTTAAAACTTAAAAAAAGTCTTATAGAATAAAGAACAAATACAATGTGTTTGTATTTTAAGCTGTTATTATATGAGTCAAAAAGTTTACAAAATGAATAGTTACAGTAAGTTAATGTATTATTGAAGAAAATTATTTTTGTAAACTTTAATGTGACCTAAGTGTTTACAGAGTCAACAGGAGTATACAGTAATGTCCTAGATCTTCAGATTCACTTGCCACTTAGTTGCTGACGCACCAGAGCAACATTCAGTACTGTAAGTTCAATTCATACAAGGCAAGGGGTCTATAAACACATATCACTATTCATCTTCTATACCATATTCCATATTTTTACTATATCTTTTCTGTTCACATACACAAATGTCTTTTGTGTGTGTGTGTGTGTGTGGTGCTAGAGATAGAACCCATGGCCTTGTGCATGTGAGGCAAGCATTCTGCCAACTAAGCTATATCCCCAGCCCCACAAATGCCATTTTGTTAAAATTACTTACAGTATTCAATACAACAACATGCTGTATAAGTGTATAGCCTAAGAGCAATAGGCTATACCATATAGCCCATCCTGCCCTTGTGTATGTGCCTTTTATTATGTTTGCACAATGACAAAATCACCAAACAACACATTTCTCAGAATGTATCCCCACAATTGACAAAGGACTGTATGTGTACATGAGCATGTGCGTACCCATATAGATCTTTATTCAGTTTTTTAAAACCTAATGTTGTTAGTAGAACAACTTCCTCATGTTTTAAATCAATTTCACAAACATAAAATATAAACAAATTCCCTTTCAACAGACATTGTACTTATTTCCCATTTGTCACAAACACAAATGCTTGGAGGAGATTCATTACTGTTTGAACTTACATTTTTAACCATTTAAGTATATTGCCAGAAAAATAAAATAAGCCCAACATAAAAAAAAAATTTCATAGGTGGGGCCAGAGTTCTGGCTCAGTTGTAGAGCACTTGCCTAGCATGCGTGAAGCACTGGGTTCAATCCCTGGCACCACATAAAAAAATAAATAAAATAAAATAAAAATATAAATAATAAAAATAAATAAAAACAAATAAAATAAAAGTATTAGCTGGGGCTATGGCTCAGTGGTAGAGCGCTTGCCTAGCATGTGTGAGGCACTGAGTTCTGATTCCCAGCACCACATATAAATAAATAAAATAAAGGTCCATTGACAACTAAAAAATATTATTTAAACTAAATAAATAAATAAAGGTATTTTAAAAAAGAGATACATAGGTAACTTATTCTTAGTAACATCTTTAAGAAGTTACATCTTCACTTCTCATATTCTTATTTCCATTCATTAGAAATACAAAGAATATATTGCAGGCTATTAAACACAGAAATGAATTAGAAAGCTATTTATATCAGGCCACTTACTTACAAAAATGTATTATGCTTAATTTTCAGCAATGAAAATAAACAACTAATGAACATGCTTCAAGTATTTAAAAAGCAATTACTTGCTGTTGAAGTCCTTGATATTTTTCTAATTCTTTTTTTAATTCTTCTGAGTACCATTTTTCTTCCTAATGAAAAAGATTTTTTAATTAGTAAATTTTAAGAGACTTTTAAACTGAAACACACACACACACACACACACACACACACACACACACAAAGTGGAGTCATATTTATTATTACCTTAAGTGAAGCCTGTAGATCTTGGACCTCTTGTCTCAGTAGTGTTATATCATCTCTAAATATGTGGGGTTGGGGGGATTAATAGTTAGTGTCCTTTATTTTATAACCTGTTTTCTCAACTATTCATTATATAACAATAAGTAGTTTATATAATAATAAGTAGTTTTGCAATCTTTAAAAAGAACTACAAAAGAATTTATGTATAATGACAAATATATAAATCCCTTAGAAAAATAATTTTATGCCTAAAGCTCAATGTTTATAAATGGGAAAATATTTCCTCATGGAAATAATCATATTACTGATTGTCAAATGCCTAAAGCAGAAATAAAAGGTCTTCTATTAATTTACCAACAATAAGTATCAATGGCTTCCTGGTGCAGTTAGCATGAAATCTAAAGTCATTAACAAAGTCTATAAAAGTCAGTAAAATCTAGTCCCTGTCTTAAAACTCTCCCCTTCATTTACTCAGCTCTAGCAACATTGGCTTATTCCTGTTCTTTGAGTGTCACATGCTCTTTCCTGCTGAGAACCTCCTCACATTCTGTTCCCCTCATCCAAGGCTCTGAGAAAGAATGGTAAGCAAACCGTAATGCTAGGCCCTAATGCAGGAGAGAAATTCCATGAGAAAACACACTTAGGATTATTATTCTTCATGTCAAGGACATATCTTCCCCTGTGGGAATTTAAACAGTAGAAAATGCAACTCTCCTCGCTCCATGCCGCTTACCATTGGCAGCTCTGATAGAAGATACAAGAACTGAAATGGGAACAGGAGTTAAGTAGAAATATCAAATGAATTGATTCTAATCTAAAGCAAATAGAAGAACATGGCCAATTCCAATGATGGGAAAAGTCAAGATCACTCCAACACAAGTAAAAGATATTAACAAGGTGAAAGATAATGAAATAGACTGATGAGAGAATTATATGCTAGAATAGGGGTGGGAGTAAAGGGTAAAAGGACAGCCTCATCTGTGAAGAAGGGCTTAATAGCAGAAAGGAAGGAAACTGCCAACAGGGGAGATATAAAGCATGAAGAAATTAGTCCTCTACCTTTATAGCCATTCATATATAAAAAATTCATTCATTATTCAACAGGCGTGTGTTGTCTGTGCTAGACTCTCAAGCTGTTCAGTCTAATGGGGGAAGTAAACACGTAAACAAGTAAGTGTGGTATAATAGAAATAAAAACAGAAGCTCACAGACAGTGGTCACTTCCACCTAGAAGACTCAAGAAGGGCTCCTTGATGGAGAGAAACATTGATGTCTTTCATCTTCTGACTACCAAAATAAAATCCAATCATAGTTTTCTGCTACTTTTGTTGACTTAAGTTTGTCTTTCTGTGTATTTTTTATTTGTTTTCATTTTTCTGGTGTTTGTTTAGTTGTGTGTGTGTATGGGTGTAGCCAGCCTTCCCTCTCTCTCATATGGTTCTATGAATAATGTGATTTATAGAAACCACAGGTCAACCACATGTCATTTATACATGACTTAAGTGTCTTACAGTTGTGTAAATATGTGTGTTTTAAGTCTTCTCTATTATTCACTAATCTTCTAACTCTACACATAAACTAAAATGATAAAAGAATTAATAACAGTTTTTGTACTATATATATGTATCAAATATACCTACATTTCAAAATCCTCTCTAAAAAGTTTATTAATACATCAGGTTTCAGATATTTTATCAATATGCTGAATGGCTCAGGTAAAAATTTAATGAAAGACTAAGAAAAATAATTCTGTGGGCCTAGTCACTCCAATTAGTCTTTTTTAAAAGTACCACTTCAACAATTTTTTTTAAGTAATTTATGAACAAAAGTCAATCTTTCAAAATGTGTAACCCTAGTAGCTAGAAGCAGTAGAACACACTTATAACCCCTGATGCTTAGGAGGACGAGGCAGAAGGATCTTAAGTTCAAGGCCAGCCTGGGCAACAAGTGAAACCTGTCTCAAAAATAAAGAAAGGTCTGGGGAGGTAGCTTAGTGTTTACCTACTACATGCAATATCCTGAGTTCCTCGGTACCACAAATGATAATAATAATAAATAAATACTGCAAAAGACAATTTGGGAATATCTAAGTTTTAAAAGAAAACTTCATTTAAAAATTCCACTTTCAGAAATTTATTTTGCATATATATTCAAACTGCACATAATATCTCCACCATACATAATTCAACATTATATGTAATTCAAAAACACTGAAAATATCCTAGATCAACGGGAGAATGATAAAATTCCACACTACCATTAAAAAGAATTAGATGGCTCTATCCATAAGACAGAGAGAAACAAAAGGTATAGTGCAATGTAGAACCTCTACTTTTTATGTAAAGATATTTATTCATATACATATATTTATTCATATGTACATAGATATAAGCATATGTATAGACTCTGTCTGGAAGAATATAAAAGAAACTGATGAAGAGAACTGGGAAAAAGGGGTACAAGGGCTTAATTTTCACCTTAGGACTTCTTGAACCATTTAAATTTGGTACTATGTATATATCAACTATATATACATTTAATACATTAATGTATCTGGTTTTAGTATTTTATCAATACTAATGTAATTTACATGTAAACTAATAAACAGCTTTAAAGCAAAAAAGGTTATGTGACCCATTTAAGTCATGTGAACTATATATCCTGCCCATAGCTATACGTTATCCAATGTGTTACGGAAAGGTAGCAGTTCACCAAAAACTTAAGAGGTATAGGAAGAAGAGAACAAGAAATACGGTAAGAAATAAACCTGGGAAAGTACACAGTATATATCCCATAAGTAATGAAAAAGTTTCTTTTTAGAGCAACAACATCAAATTTGCATTTTAAGAATACAATTCTCCAACAATTTGAAGAATTAATTATAGGGGTACAAAACTAAAGCCAACTATATATACTAAAAATATTTCTCAGTGAGACATAAGTCCTAAAATAAGCTGTAGCAGTGAGGATGGAAAAGGATATAAAACCTGTTAAGGAAAAAGAATGATTGAATTTTCAGACACTTCACAAAAATGATGAAGGAGAGCAGGGACAGGTATGTAAAAATGAACACACCCAATTTTCTGGCTTTAGTAACTGGGTAGACAAATAATGTTGCCATTCACCAGAACAAGTAACAGCACACAAGAAGCAGGTTCAGAAGGAAATGCCATCAACTGTTTTCAAAATGTCACAGTGAGATGCTTTGGGGACACCTAAGGGAAGACAGCTACTAGGCAATTTGGGAGATAATTCTAGGTTGGAGATGCAGTTTAGTAGAAAGTTATGGATGTGAAATTACCACAGGTGGATGACATACAGGAAGAACAGCACATAAAACAGGTAAACAAAGAATGATTACAATATTAAGTTGTCTCAGAAGTTTAGAAGAAAAAGGAACTAGCAGAGTCAATTTTTGCTAAGGTTGCAGTAATCTACAAAGATGACTACCACTGAATTCTTGCATTCCTAGACACATCTACTGCTCCATTGAAAGATGAAGGTTACTTCTTGGCCTCTTGAATTTGAACTAGCCCTATGACTACTTTTACCTACAGAATATGGCAGAAAGATGCTCTGACAGTTTTGAATCAGGCCTAAAGAAGAGTGGCAGCTTCTACTTCTTTCATAATAAAATGTTCTTTCTTGGAACCCAACTGCCCGTCTGTAACTTTAAGAAACCATAGACAGGTCATAATGAAGGAAATTAAGGACTCTGGCCCCAGCTGAGCTCCCATCAGCCAATATTCAGCGCCAACCATCAGTCATGTGAGGTCATTTTGGACCTTCTTGACTTCCTGCCACCAGTCTACCTCACTTAACTCAGAAGAACCATTCAATCAACCCAGAGCCATGAGAAGTAATGAACTATTAAATAAAGAAAAAGTTCATGTACAGTATTAGACTTCATCTAAATCACGGCTGAAAAAGCAACTCTGAGCCAGGTGTGGTGCATGCCTGTAATCCCAGCATCTCAGAAGGCTAAGGCAGGAGGATCTTGAGTTCAAAGCCAACCTCAGCAAAAGCAAGGCATTAAGTAACTCAGGGAGACCCTGTCTCTAAATTTTAAAAAATACAAATTAGGGCTGGAGATGTGGCTCAGTAGTTGAGTGCCCCCTGAGGTCAATCCCTGGTACCTAACCTCACCCCGCCAAAAAAAGCAACTCTGTTGAATTTATATTAAATATAAAAACATTTATAATGTGATTTAATATAACTACATATTTTATCTATTTTCTAACAAATGACAAAATATAGCAACCAAAATCATTAACTTACAAGTAAAAGCACCAAAGTATATTAATAATAACCACAAAGTTATGTAGTCAGAATACTTTTCCTTTATTTAGTATTCTTTGTGTTATATCAGTGTAATTCACAAAGAAATTTTTTTTAAGAAAAGCTTGAGTAGATGGGGTAGAGAGAGAAGATGGGAGGGGAGGGGAGGGGGGATAGTAGAGGATAGAAAAGGTAGCAGAATACAACAGTTACTAATATGGCATTATGTAAAAATGTGTATGTGTAACCGATGTGATTCTGCAATCTGTATTTGGGGTAAAAATGGGAGTTCATAACCCACTTGAATCTAATGTATGAAATATGATATGTCAAGAGCTTTGTAATGTTTTGAACAACCAATATATAAAAAAAAAAGAAAAGCTTGAAAAATATTTTTTACAAGTAGAATGAAATGATCCTTATTCCTTAGTTGGTATAAAAGACAATAGCAGAAGAAAAACAAAGTCATATTGATGAATGCTATTCTAAGTAGCTATATATTTTGGTCTAATTTTAGTTCTCAAAATGGTTAAGTAAAATTGCCAAGAAGCATAATGTGTATGTGCTTATTATTATACTGGTGATTAAATATTTATTTTTAAAATTTAAATGAAAGTTTAGGGGATTTTTTTTTTTGGCGGGGAGTAGTAATCGGGGATTTAACTCTCTCACCCACTGAGCCACATCCCCAGCCCTATTTTTCGTATTTTATTTAGAAACAGAGACTCACTAAATTTTAATTCTTACCTAAATTATTTTATCAACTTACTATAAAATCATGTAAGCAAAGCATATCATTCTTTATTGAACAGAATATACCAAATATAACTCAATCTTCTTTTGCTAATTTGGAATCTTCATTAAAGCCATAACCTCTATACCATGTTGCAGATGCTGGTATAGCTAGCTAGCTGCTGGTCACAGACTGAATAGGTCATAATGACAAGAGAGAAGGCAATGCTGAGGACAGATTTAAATTAAATAATATGACAACATCACTATTTTTAGAAACTAATCATAACTAAACAATGATATCACATGCACATTCCATAACAATATTACACTTTGCAACTATCATACCATACCGCTTCAAAGCAAGATTGGCCTCTCCTCCATGACTTGCGTCATTACCAGCATCATGAACTGCCTGATAGTGTTCGAAAAGTTCATCAGCCGATCCAAGAGATTTCATACACTGGGGACATATGAAGCCCTATAGAAAGAGGCAGAAAAGGTACAAAATGGTTTTTAATATTGTAAAATAATATTTTGCATATTATGAAATAAAGTCAAATATCTTATTCATACAAATGGAGAGATTAATTAAGTTGTAATTTATGGTATTAGCCCAAATGCTGGTATCATTCATGGTGTCACTGTATATTCTTGTTGAAGTTTACAAAATAAAAATAAATCCTTGCAACCATCTTTTAGGTTGAATAACTAAATGGCCAGAGCACTGAATTCTAATCTAAGACGTTTGTTCTAACCTAGATTAGTTGAAATTTATATTTTTTCTCTCTAGATATCCCCATTATTAAAATAATATGTGCTCTAATCTACTTTACAGAAATGCTACCAAAAAAATCAAGATGTAGTACTAGAAAAGGTAATATAGTAAATCATTCATAATTTGCACAGAGTTTAACTATCTACAATGATAGAGAATTATTTTAGTCAGTAAATTTCCTTACTAACCTAAGATTAAAACAGTAAAAATCTAAAATTAAATGGATAGCCCTATGTTATATAAAAATCTTATCATTAATCCCAGAATTATATATGGTTAAGACTATCAACTAGTACAATGTTAAAGATGCTGATATAGATCCGTGTTTTACAAATTCAGAATTGTAATTCATTAATAAATCATGAAATCAATATACTGGGTTATAATATTTTTAGCTATACTCAACAACAGAATAGTTTATCTTATGTGGTAAGGGTAATATTATCTTATTAAATTTTGTTTTGAATGATGATCAAAAAGTGATGACCATTTATTACAGTGGTTACCATAAAAAATATTTGAGAAGCACTCACATAGAGAGTTGTTAAATGAAAGATATAGGATAGAATAAGTAATAATTATGATTACTTTGTTATTGGTTCTTTTTATTTATAAATGACAGTAAAATCAATGTGACATAATTATACAAGTATGAAATATATCTTGTTGTAGTTCAGGTGATTACTTTTTTTTCTTATTGATTCCATACTATTGTGCCAAGTATTTTTCCCTATGAAATCTCATTTAAATCCCACCAGTCTTTATTATATAAGTATTATTACCTCCATTTCATAGAAGAAGAAATGAAATCTCAGGAAAGTTAAAGGACTTTGAAAGGTTACAAACCTAACTAAACCAGAGTACTCATAGGTTTACTGGACAAATTCCACATTCTTTCCAAATACTACACTATCTCTTGAACTCCTTGACTTAACCCTTAAAAATTACTTCCTTAAAATAAACTCTTTTATCTGTTAACTTTCTAGTGGCTTTATTCAACAAATACTTTTTATCAATTCGAGTGTTATAGTATTTCACTGGAAGGTAAAATGATAGAGTCTAAGTTTTCAAAGAACTGAGAAGACAGAGTATATACACATGAAAAAAATATCTTTATATGAAATCAAATTAATGACTAAACAGCATGAAAGCTTACATTTTATGGGTATCTGATGACAAAATATATTACCAAGCCAAGGACGAAATAACTTTCTCTCCAACTTTCTGTTGACTTCATAGAAAATTATTCACTTGACTTCTACATCTTTCATATTTTTAGTATTCCAAATATTACCCAATACTTCAGTCTAATTAATCCAATATACAATCGAAATTTTTCATCCTTAAATTTCTCTTTAAATTAACTGCATTCAAAACTTTTTAAAGATAATAAAGAAATAGTTTCCTATATTTTTTGCACACACAATCTCCACACTAAGGGGTTTGAGGAGGGCTAACTCCACACTCTTATTTTTAAAAAAAATTATAATAGTTCTGAAAACTTCCAAGAGTCCATAAGCAGACTATTTTTCACCCCAATTCTCAAAAATATCCTCATCCAATCTATTTTGCAGGAGTATGTCATAAGCTAAATATTTAGGTTCATTCACTAAATTAAAGTTGAAATAGTGATTAGCAAAAATCCAGTGACTTTATTACAGATATGATTCTTCTAAATCACGGTGACAAGAAATAAACTTATTTTGCTTTCATCAAGTATACAATTCTAAAATGCTTCTCTTTCGGAAGCTAAAATAGAATTTATGTGTTCCAGTATATTCATATATTGTAAGCAACAAGTAAATACATTCTGACCGTGAAGGTCTACAGAAAGCTTTGTTTCATGGGAATGTTCACCTTTTACCTGTAGAAATAGTCACCTTCCGTCATCGTATGGTGTTTTGTTTTGTTTTGTTTTCTGCAGTACTGGAGACTGAACCCAGGGCCTAGATATGCTAGACAAGCATTCTGCCACTAAGCTACACCCCCAGCCCTCTCTTTTTTAGTCTATTTAAAAAAAAAAAAAAATCCCCTTAAAGATCACTGTTCCCAGGGATGGGGTTGTATGGCTCAGTGGTGGAGGGTTTGCCTCCCATGCTTGAGGTACTGGGTTTGATCCTCAGTATCACATAAAATAAAGCATTGTGTGTGTGTTTTGGTTTTTGGATTTTTTTAAAAGATCATCTCATTTAAAAGGCACTCTCATTGTCCTTCCATCTTCTGAATTAACATTCTCCCTGTATATAAATGCAAGTGATTCTGGCTATCACTTACATGCTAATGACTTCCAAATTCATATAGCTAGCCAAGAACCTTCCATAGAAGTTTTCTGGCTCTATATATCCAACAACATACAAGCTCTACCTGCATCTAATAGGCACTCAATACAATAAATCAAAAGATTCAACTCATTTCCCAAACCTCCTCTTCTTACTAACACCAACCTTTCAACTGAACTAAAAATCATGCTGAACTACTCTTCTTTCTGTCTCATTTCTAATAAAATGCTAAGCCTAAACATTCCTCTTTCCCATTTTTTCATCTCAATGCTTACTGCAGTTGGCCTTGTTCAGACACTCATTATCTCTTGTCAACACTATTGCAATAACATTCCAGAAAGTGCTACTACACCTAGTCTCCCTTCTCCTTAATGAATTTTCCACCCAGCTGTCAGAGGAATCTTTCCAAAATAGATTCTTCAATATTATTCACTAATCTTTACCATCAATATGGCATACAAGTACCTGCATGATCATTCTCCTAATGACATTTGCAGTCTAAAGTCTAGATACCTCTCAATCTATACAATATGCTTTAACAATACTAAAGTACCTGTGTTCCCTGCACTCACCATGGTATCACAAATTTCTGTGTCTTTTGCATATATTGCTTTTTTCTCTGGCAGCCATTAGTTTGTCAAATTCCTTCACTCTAATACACAACACATTGGATCTTTTCATCCATATTTCCCTAATGGCTAAGATAATGCCTTCAGCATAATATGTATTTTCTACATTGTATATTTGTTTACTTAAGTATGCATGAACCTGGCAATTCCAAACTTGGTGAAAAAGCAGAATATCTTTAAAAGCACAGATTACAAACCTTCTAAGAATAGGCCTTCATTCTCCAAGGCCAGTATGTCCTCTAGTTCATGAGCTTCAAGCAAAAAGGAAAGGGAATAAGAAGGGGGACTTCATACCAGGGCTTCTACAAGGCAGACTGCGCACAAATCAACAAGTGGAAAGCACCTAGGCAACAACTGGCTATAAAACTTGCTCCCAAGAATGCAACCTCTATTGGAGGGCTGAAGAAATCTCATCAACACAGGCCTGGTACTGTGGCACTCTGTGAAATGAGACTTTTCAGAATTCCACTGAACTTCTAATTTGCAAACTCCCCTTCCAGAGTCTGGTGCAAGAAATGTTTCAGGATTTCAAGGATTTCAAAACAGATCTGCACTTCTAGGGCAAAGCTACTGATGCTCTGCAGGAGAAAAGTGAGACCTATCTGGTTGGCATTTTTAAAGACAACAACCTGCGTACTACTATCCATGCCATATGTGTAACATTTATGCCAAAAGACATACAACTATCACATAACATACTTGGAGAATGTGCTTAAAAACCAATATGATAAGAAATATTTCAATCCCCCCAAAAATGTTTTTCTCTTCTTCCTCTTATTGGTAAATTTGAAGGTAGGTCCCCACTATCCCCACTTGGGGTCAAGAGATACCTGAGTATATGACTGTACTTGGAAAACAGGGTCAGAAATCAGGTATTGGTCCTAAAGACTTAAAAACAGTATACTACAGTGATGCAGCCACTCCAATGTTTATAGCAGCACAATTCACAATTGCTAAACTGTGGAAGCAACCTAGATGCCCTTCGATAGATGAATGGATAAAGAAACTGTGGTACATATACACAATAGAATATTATTCAGTATTAAAAGAGAATAAAATTACGACATTTGCAGGTAAATGGATGGAGTTGAAGAATATCATGCCAAGCAAAATAAATTAATCTCAAAAATCAGAGACTGAATGTTTTCTCTGATAAGTGGATGCTAATACATAGGAGGGGAACATGGGATAAGTGGAGGAACTTTGGATGGGGCAAAGTGGAGGGGGGCAGGGGGTAGGAAAGTCAGTGAAATGAGACAGACATCACTACCCTAGGTACATGTATGATTGCACAAATGGTGTGACTCTCATTCATGCACAACCAGAGAATTGAAAAATTCTGCTCCATTTGTGTACAATCAGTCAAAGAGCTTTCTGCTGTCATGTAAAACTGACTAGAACTAATGATAGATAGATAGATAGATAGATAGATAGATAGATAGATAGATAGATAGATAAGAAATCAGGTATTGGCAGTTTTTCCTCTGATTTTTATTTGTGATTTTTTAATACAAATTCAAGAATTAAAGAATTAATGCAAGTCAAAATATTTCAGCGAACAAGCTGAAGCAGTTCAACTTTATAACAATAAAAAGAAAAAACCTGTCAAATTTTTTCAATAATGCCAGCAATTGGATTTAAAAAAAAAAAAAAAAAGCAGATTTCTTACTGATGGCAACTAAATGGTGTTTGTAGTATTTTTTTTATACTAAATTCTGTCCACTCACTATACTTTTGAGTTGACCTACATGCAAGTATATGTTTTTAGTGTTGCCTGTCTTCTGTCTTATATCTA